TGATTATGTTCTCGGGGAGGTTGTGTGAACAGGGAGGATCGTTTTGGCACCTGATGTTGTCCATGGATTATCTTTACAGATGTTTCCACCTCCGTTCTAATGGTAGTCATGACGTCAGTCAGACCATTACTCACAACTGAGATGCAGGCGCGCGAACAACTGGATGTCTTCATGCAAAACTCCCGGCTTTGGATTATCGCCCTCATACTCTACAACCATGCAAAGAGCGTTTACTCTCAATGCAGTTTCTAGCTCGTCGTCGACCGATTCTCTCGAGGCGATCTCCGGGTTGTCTCGGTTGTCTTGCTGTCGGCGGCGTCGAAAGACTGCACGTATAATGATGACAATGGCTCGCGCGATGTGAAAAAATGGAACAAAGAACGCCAGCAATCCGTTGTAGACGGCCATTATTGGCTTGTCTCCGGGTTCGGGCACTGTCGTCAATGCATGCAGGGCGTAGTTGAAAAGGATGAACTTCCCTACATCCACCCAGTCTGCGCGACGACACAAAACATCCTTAGACACGAAAGTAACCGATGGTGGTTGGGATGTCGATGCCATGTGTGTTGTTTATTGGAGGGCTTTTTGTGGATATTCCGTAGTTTTTAATCGTAGAGTACGATGATTCAGAATGTGATATGATGGGTATGCATATCTGACTATTTGTTGCATGCAGCTGCTTTCTAAAACACCCACGTAACCCTCTGCAGAGAACCAGCCAATAAATAAAGTTTGCGACAAGGTGTGAGCATCGACGCGTCATGTTCCATCAGCTGAAGGTTTTTAAAGCGATGTGGGAATAGGTACTGCTTTTATAAATGTTCATATCCATTCAACCTTAGAATCAAGAGACTAACTGCGAACTAGTATCGAAAACTACCCAGACGGTACAACCGCCTATCCCCACCACGTTGTGCTGTGATATGACAGATGCTTGAAGGACTGTGGTTGCTGGCTGAATAGTTTTGATTTTAAATTTCTTGGATATGGAATTGCAAATACTAATACTTCTTTGGTCTCGGGGGTTGGGATTGTAGAGGAATAGAATAATCATATCATTTATTGTGGTGGTCATGAGCCCGGTAGTCTTAAGTGATTCCTGTCTGCTTGTGTGGTTATCGCGAGCTTTTTTGGTTGTTTGTGTGCGCGGGGAAACAGGTTCGCGACGTTCGAGTACCCCCGAACCGAGAATACTTGAAGTATCCTCCGATCTAATCTGATGCCCACTTAATAAACCAAAACACAAAAAACCGGACCCCCCTGCCGCCTCGGCTATCCCGTTTCCACCCATGATCCCACTCCGATCCCGATGCCGACACTTCGCTACCCTGACTTTGGATTCCCTCGTCTCGGCGCTATCAAATTCGACGCTTTCCGTCGCGAATATGTAACTCTGAGATTACCTGCTCATCCCCCTGACGACTCCTGGATTCGAACGCTCCGAAGTTGGCAGGTTTTCTATGCTCGTTGCCATAAGGAAATCGTATTTCGGTGTAGCGATGGTACATACTCTCGACCGCCGGAGGAACGATAGTCGCCGGCGAACTACAAAGACGGCCAATGAGGACCTCACCTGGGAATTCTGATGGCGGGTCGTTTGGTATAGTTATCGCGAGAGGACGTGGATGTTTTGAATTTGTCGTTCCGTGTGGGTTGTGGTATGTCGGGCCCACGGGTCGATCCGACGACATTTGGTACCCCCGAGTCCCATAAGCCCAAGTCAAACTCTCTCTCTAATCGAACCTCTGAGCTCACAGCCTCCCTACCGCCCACTAAGTTGTGCTCTAGCACGCCCTATCTCTATTTCCACCCTTCTCGGAGCCGTTCGTCGAACCTAGATCTATAAACTGCAACATGTTAACATAAACTGGTTTAATAATAGTATTACGGAATTGTTAGGTATCTTGGAATCCAACCGCCCACCAGCCTATCCGTGCCAACTACGATAATACATACATTTTGGGCAAAGGCCTGGGATCATATCCCGGGAGCCTTAGCTGGGGCGAAATGGGTGTAGAGTACACATATTATTTCTCCAACTGCTTCACCGCATCCACGATGACTACTATTGGCTTATACCTGGTAGCAATGTAGCATTAATGACGTAGATGTAACTTGCGGCGCTATAAATCTCATCATGTCACTCGATGGCATCCCAAAGTAGCCACTCATGGTTCCTCACTCGGTCGCACTGGTTCCTCCGCGCTGACAAAAGTACGTACTTGGGTAGTCGCTAGTTTCCTTCTTACATACTCTTCACCATCAAATCCCAGGTTTCCCCTCAGTGAAATATGTGCAATATCGGAAGTCACAGGGTTCCAAAATCTCTATCAGGGTGCTGATGACGGCAAGTTTTGGTCGTGTGAAAAATGGGCGGGAAGAATCGCCACAAGGACCGTTCCAACTGCCGCGAACACAGTCCCGGGAACCGCTGCGTTCTGAAGATCGCCGGGGTGCCCACTGATCCACCACCCAGCAAAAGCCATGCTGAGAATCCAAAACGCTAGAAACAGGCAAGTTACTCTCTTATGGCATAGCGTTTGTTGCAATTGTAATCCCCAAGCAGTCGTTACATCGTGCGGGAGTTCACCATTGATCCGTTTTGGAATATTTTCCAGTACCGCACTGGTGGTACCAGCACAGCTAGGATCTTTGAATAGGTGCAATAATAGGCATCTTGGAATGGCGGCAGGGGTCGGAGGCGGTTTGGGACAGAATTCATACTCTTCATACTCAGGGTCCTTGATGGTGGGCAACCCTTCTGGGCCGTGACAGTCCGCATAATCGTGTCTGATACGATAGCGGGAGAACTGAAAATTTGAATCAGCAAAGGCCAGTCCCTTTTGCAGCGGGGTTGCTTACCCGGAGAAACGTTATTCGGGTGACGCAGGATAGTCCAAACCAGCGTCTCCAACCTCTAATCGCATTATAAACCCCCCTTAACTCGCGGAAGAACTGCTCATCGCTAGAAAGTCGCTCTTGTGCTTGGGGAAGTTGCGCAAGCAGGGAGTGTTGTTCAGTTCGTGGGACACAACACATTACCCGAGCATTTGCGAATACATTGGTAGGCTGTGGAGTCGTAGGTACATTTTGGCATTGTTGCTGTACGGGGATATTGTTGGCACGTTCATGACGTCTTCTGGAAGGCGGCGGAACAGACGGTGTAGTCGTAGTTGGGAGCTGGGACGATATATGGCCAACTGTTTGGATCGTAGTTGCGCTTGCATTCGTTGCTAATGGCACACAGTGATAAATAGATCGATAGTCACCCTCAGAAGCATGGTCAATAACCTCCGAGAGCTTTTCCCCACAGGACTATATTTAGAGCGTTAGACACAGCGCAAATACGACGTTGAGAACTACCCACACATCTCCATGTCATTTTCAATAAATAAGCACCTGGTTCTGTTCTGACAGGGGCCTCAAGGGGCCACCAGAATATTTTAGTTTTCAGCCTGTTCTCTAACCAAAGCTTGGCTTTATCAATCCAAAGCACTTCGTAGGGGGTGAATTCGATAGTTTCTGGGAACTTTATCGCGTCATCTGCCGGCCACGAGCCTGGAATCCAAAATTCCGTGCGTCGCGGGGGTCCCGGATGTTGCGGGTCGTCCGGAATCAATACAGCCTTCACTGGTGGTTTAATTTGTGTATTGTGTGTTTGAATAGGGTTTGTTTCTTCGAATGGTAGCTCATCGTGGGAGACCGTGTGCGGTGCCCTTGCGGGTGATGCAACCGAAACCTCATCAACAGTGGTCGGCCGCAGGTGACTTTCTGATGGCTTCCATTCCTTTCTATCCTCTATAACATCCCAAAGAGGTGATGGTTGTGATTGAGGATTGATCTCTTCGATAATGTGCCACACAGGCGACGATTCCAGCCGCTGATGGGTAGTAGTGGGTGCTACCCTGCCCAAAGGATTTCTCCCGGCATGGTTCTCCTCCTCCTTAACCTCAGGTTTCTTTGGCGATCTGCTGCTTTCGATATCGAGACCACCGGGATTAGCGAGTGGCGAGCCGTCCCTGGCATGTCTCTCCTCCTTAACTTCAGGCTTCTTTGGCGACCCGCTTCTTCCGACATCGAGACCACCGGGACTGGCGAGTGGTGAATCGCCCTCGGCATGGCTCTCCTCCGCAATCTCAGGTTTCTTTGGCGACCTGCTTCTCCCGACATCGAGACCACCAGGACTGGCGAGCGGCAAGTCGTCCTCGTCATCGTACTCCTCCTCCGCAACCTCAGGTTTCTTTGGCCCCCTGCTGATTCGCTTCCCAATGCTTCCAGCTCGTGAACGAATTGTCTGTACCTTAGTTGATACTTTTGGCCCGAAGTCGATAAGATCGAGATCTTCATTTGACAACCTATTCCATTCATTAAGATCATTTCGGTTGGTGAAAAATAATGGCGCTCGGTTGACTGGTGTTAGCGGTCGGCTGACAGGTGGTATTGGCGCTGGTGTTGGCGCTGGTGTTGGATTTATAAAATGACCGGATTCGAAGTCGGATTCGAAGGTCGCGAAAGGGTCGGAATCGAAAGGGTCGGAATCGAAAGGGTCGGATGCGAAGATCGTGAAAGGGTCGGATGCACTCATTCTGTCTTTGCTCTGGTCTGTTTAACAAGAAGGCGGGCTCTGCCATTTTATTATACTCGATGTTGTTTGGCGCACTTGCTTTGCATACAGTCAACCCTGGCTATAACGGACGCCAAAAACCCACGGTTTTTCGTTCGGTATAGCGAGGATCCGGTACAAATAATATTAATAAGCATGAGTGACAGTGGATGAGCGAAAAAAAGGGGGCTTTGCTGCTGCTGTGCTGGGAGGATCATCACCACCGTGACTCTACAACAGTCTGAATACCCACCCTTCCTCTTCAAGTTGTGAGACCACTTCAAGTTCTTTATTAAATTCCGATCAAAAATACGCCAAAGAGACGTGCCCTGAGTAATGTGGAGAAGCACCACATTTGCAAAAGGAGACAGGAACTGGCCTATGCAAAGGAGAAGCTTGTAGACTTTGGCAAGCGGTTTCCCGATGAGAATGGCAATCCAGTGCCTACCTCTACCCTCTCAGATATTTTCAAAGCAAAGGAGAAGTGGTTGACTCTGGATCCTGGAGCTGCTGATGGGTGGAAGAGAAAAAACCGAAAGGAACAATTTCCAGTACTTGAGCGGCACCTTGTAGAGTGGGTAGATTGGGCAAATATGAAGCGTGTACTTGTCACCGATATTGTGCTGCGCATTGCTGCCGAGACTTTGGTTGATCCGTTGCGCAGTGTACCAGACAACACAGAGGATTATATAGACTTCGGTTTTTCGAATGGGTGGCTTGCTGCAGTGAAAAATAGGAATGGATTATCAAGCAAAAAATTGCGAGGTTCAGGTGGAGATGTAGATGAGGTGGAGATTCCACAAATGTGGAAGGATTTGCAGGAGGAATTGGATGACTATCCAGCACGGGATATCTTCAACTGTGAGGAAATGGCATTACAGTAAGTATTAACTACTTCACCAGTCCAAGTACTACCAGCAATACTAACTTGAACCGATGAAGGTACAATATTATGCCGGACAATACAATCTTAAGAGGTAAGGAATACATACGGGGAATAAAGCTACAAAACCACAAGTATCGGTATTCTTGACCTGCAATGCGGATGGATCTGAGAAATATGATATAATGATCATAGGCAAAGCCTACTCGCCTGTCTGTTTTCGCCGCACAGGTTATCGAAACCTAGACACCTTACCTTTTATTTACCGAAACAACAAGAAAGCCTTGATGCTTAGTAGAATTTGGTATGAATACCTTACGACACTGAATCACAAAATGAAGGCTGCAGGACGGAGAATTGTTCTTGTTACAGATAATTGCCCTTCCCACCCTCCTCCTAATAGGCACTCCGAAGGACTATACTGAACCTCGGCCACCAGTTCTTACACATATCAAGTTGGTATACCTTCCGAAGAATACCATACCATTTTTATAGCCACTCGATCAAGGAATTATCCGTGTCTTGAAAGCCTCATATTGGAGAAAATATGCACAGCGATTACTTCAATATCCATGGTGAACCAAGTAAGTAACTCAAGCTTCTTCCTGCAATGCTTCTTCTATTAGAAGGGTGGAAAGAACTACCCCCAAAGGTCATTTTCAACTGCTAGCAGAAGGTTGGAATTCTCTCTTCAATTGATCGGACCATATACAATTCCTACAGTGAGTATATGGAATACTTGGAGACTGGTACTACAATCTCAATCGGTTTCCTGATAGACGCGGGTTGCAACTCAGAGCAAATCGCAAATGCAGTATCTCGGTTCCTGTGCTATGAAGACTCTGCAGACCCCGAAATACGTGCATCTATTGTGATCATATCTGAGCTCATTGAGGATCTCAGGCAAGAGGACACAGAGCCCACCCCACCAGATTCAGACGATGAGGATCTGGCCCCCCGACACCACCTATCTCCTCAGACTGGGCTTTACAACATCTTACGGAACTCAGAATCTTCCTGCGCAGCCTACCTGTAGATACCTTAGAACCACCAGCTAGCCAAGCTCTCAAAGTTTCAGAAACTCTTCTCGACCTTGAACTCTTGGGATCAGCAGTTCGTAACTATAAGGAGAAGCAGAAGGTCCACAGAATCTGAATTCGTGGTTGCATATACCCACTCAGGCTGCTAGCGATGCCAGGGCATCTGACAGGCTAGACAAACCACAACTTAAAGACGAGCGGTCGGAGTAGGACCGGAGATATACCGTTCAATAGAGCTCCTTCCAGCAGTCAATTTGAGTCTATACCCGAGGCAATCCGATAGCAACTGCGGAAGTTAGATAGGGGTCGTGGGTTGATTGATGGTATTTGGGCATATGGTACACTGGCAGGTCTGGTAGTAGTAGAGATATGGCGATGTGTGATATACCGCATAATAGAGCTCGATAAGGCGATCATGTTTTGTCTTATACACGAGTCAATCGGATAAGTTTTGAGAAAGTTGGCTGGGAATTATGGTAAGAGAGCCGGTACTGCTATGATTTTTTGTATGTAGACATGGGTCAAAAGCCACCCAAATGAAATCCGGTCCGGTATGGGCTTGTATCCGCTATATGCAATGGGTTTTGGCTGGAGAGGAAATTTTCTGAGACTCTTTTCCGGTACTGCTAGGTGTCCGCTACATCAAGGTCCGCTATAGCCAGGGTCGACTGTAAGTATATAATGGACTGAAACACTACGATGTGCAGATTGGTGACACGTCAAACCTTGGTATTTAGTGGTAGGTGACGACAGACCTTTCCTCCAATGATATCAGTCATCGGAATTTTGTGCTCATCGATACGAGTAAGCAATACAGGCTCCATTGCCCATGTATACGCGGGCTTTGCTATCGCTGCAGGCCTGGCCATCACGGCTGCATGGATGAACAAGACCAATAAGATGAATATGCGATCGAGTTGTTTCTTTGTTTTAATCATTCTGTATTCACCCTATCTAGAGTATGACAGAATCCAGGTGTTTCTTCTCTGCTTGGTGAATTGATGACTGTACATATCAGTGGCCCCAGAACTTCACATATGGATTATGAAGAGTAGTCTTCTTTGCTTGCTGGATAGATGTACCATTTCTTAAGTACCCAGAGAATCACATATAGATTATGTAAATTTATCTCTGCCTGCAACAAAATCTGTGAACGAATCAAATCCCCAATCACATGATACGTTTGGTAGCCAATGAGAATTCACGCGATGACTAATCAAATTATTTTCCCCTGTGTATTTGTTGGGCAAGCCATTCAGTTCCTTCATGACATTTTGGTGACTCTGGTAGCGGAGAGGTACTTCAGAAGTGCAACATGCGTTGCTTTACCCTTCCCCCTGTACCAAATACCATATGTGCGCGAGGCGATACAAGACCTTGCTCAATGATTTTCAACACAGAGGTGGGTGTGTGTAAAGGCGTACGTCGTCGTACGTGTAGATATGAGTGTAGATACGGTTGCACACGTGGATTCGAGAATAAGGTAGAGTGGGTTTAATATGTAAGGTTATCGATGGCGTGCAAGGGTACTCGCACGAGCTGACTATATACTGGGCGGATGGGTGGTTACCCTGCCATAGGCCGGCCGCCATTACATCATCCCCCTCTTTATCTGCAGACCTCCTGGGCTGCATACCCGTACATGAAGAGAAGAAACAATCCAAGAAGAAACAAATCCAAGCTCGTACGCCCTCGTACGGCCTCGTAAATCCTGCAACCGATCGGTGCCATCACGGCGGCCTCACGGCGGATCCGGTGCACGGCGAAATCCACCTCCAGTGGTAGGTGGTAAAACCCGTGCCGACGCCATTTATACCGGGCCGAGATCCATAAGAAACGAAGAGAAGAGAAGAGAAGGAAACATCCAATTGACCCCTGTATCCTCCAAGTCCATCTCTCCATATCCAAGCCCTCGGCATACCGTAGCTTTCATCGTGCAGGCTCGGAGGTGTGAATCGGCGTCGCGTCGGAAGTCATTGACCAATTATCTAACTCGTGAGCATCCAAGAGAAGATCGAACTTACAATATAATCAAGTGCGCTTCAGAGCTTCCGCTCAGTTCGGAGGAAGGCAATCGTCAAGTGCACTTCAGATCGTAGGTACGGTCATCACACCAACCGTCGTCGACTACTCTTCGCTTCGTCCTTTGAACCGAGAGAGTAGCCTTTCTACTTTCTCTTGCAGACATCATCTCGCTGCCGTCCGAGGCTCGAGGTTGCGATGAATGCTGGTTCGTCCCGGACGCCAAGCCGCCTTCGCAGCTTGAGCGTCATGAGTCGCCGCCGCCGGTGGTCTTTCCACCGGAGGTTGTCTCGACGGTCAAGTAGACGTCCATCCCGCTTAGGGATAAGACGAAGTAGAGGTCCATCCCGCCTAGGGATGCAACCAAGTAGACGTCCATCCCGCTGGATAAGACGAAGGAGAGGTCCATCCTGCCTAGGAATGCAACCAAGTAGACGTCCATCCCGCTGGATAAGATGAAGGAGAGGTCCATCCCGCCTAGGAATGGAACCAAGTAGACGTCCATCCCGCTGGATAAGACGAAAAGAGAGGTCCATCCTGCCTAGGGATAAGATGACTCCGTCGATGTAGAATTTCTCGATGGTAGATCGCGAGTAGTAACGCGTCGAAAAAGGGGTAATTCACGAAATCCCGTGAGCGAAACGTATCCAATTACTAAAGATCGATAACAGTGTAAAGGCGTACGTCGTCGTACGTGTAGATATGAGTGTAGATACGGTTGCACACATGGATTCGAGAATAAGGTAGAGTGGGTTTAATATGTAAGGTTATCGATGGCGTGCAAGGGCACTCGCACGAGCTGACTATATACTGGGCGGATGGGTGGTTACCCTGCCATAGGCCGGCCGCCATTACAGTGTGAAACTTATGCATGCAAGCTTTCTTGGCATCTGAGCTTTCTGAATCACAACCAATCATCAAAGTAGAGACCCCCGGCACAACGGGGAGTTGATTTTCGAGTCCTGTTTTCAAGAATCTTGCCTGTCAGCACCAAGCCGCCACACCCACAGTCAAAAGCACAACGAAGTTGGAGGAAGAGGCATACACTCACCCGTGTGTGGGATTTGATACAATGCAACTCTAAAGGAAAGTTTAGTTTTCATGTTGACATTTCTGTTATCTAACGAATAGCTATATAGGTTTGCTTTAGAGAGAGATAGTTGATGGATGACAGATGATGAAGAAGGATGATACATGTGATATGATTAGATGGATTAGATAGTTTCCACATAGATAGTACAGGATCTCAAACCTATGTATCATAATAGATCTCATCACTTCATTGTCCACCAATAGACACAACTGAAATTGCACTGTGAATCTCAACGAGCATGCAGGATGCCTCGCAGTTGTGGTACCTCGCGGAAATCTATGCCTTCGATCATGAACTATCACTCTGCATATATACTTGCCCATGTGTTATATCATGTATACTTAGAGCCTGGGCATACCTGTGAGTTGTGAGGTCTACTAGATCCGAGGAACGAGATACGTCACTCAGATGTAAGATGAACCTACTTTGGTGTATATATATACTGGCCTTGATAGTCTCGATGAATACAGTCAATTAAGAACCTACTTGTACATCTCTCAAAGTAACAGGTTATGAGCCCGGCAGTCGCAACCATCTAAAACTCTATTCTTCTTCCTGCCTGAAATACTTTATACTCCTTCTGATTACTCTATACACTATAATCACGTCATCCAACTCTATTTGTACCGCTGAAACCCCGTCACCCCAGCAACGACACTAAAACATCAAAATAAGCAACCTAATTCAAACCAAACACCATGTCTACTCAAAACTCCAATCTTCTGAACTACAATAAAACCCAATGGGGTAACGTCGCTCTGCTTGCTCACCTCAACTATGACTCGTGGATGGAAAACATGACCCTAGTCCTCAAAGCCATGAGAGTATACAGCATCGTTACCGGAAAACCTGAACCTCAAGCACTTGATATCAACTATGCCGATTGGAAGACCCATGAGGCCCAGGCAGCTACCACCATACTACTCTCCTGCTCTCTGGACGTTAGAGTTTACGTCAAAGGCCTGCGAAACCCACATGAAATGTGGCACACTCTTCAACAGCGCCTTGATAATACAACTACACTTATCGGGCGAACGGCACTTCTTCGCAAATTCCGCGCAACCCGACATCAAATAGATTAACCACTCCAAGATTACTTCAATAAGCTCTGAGATCTCCGTCATCAGCTAGCAGGATCGACCAAAGCCATCTCCGATGATGAACTACGTACACACATATACACAACCTTGCCAGAACAGTATGTCATGATGGTCAAGATCTTACAGCATTGAACCCCAATTCCAACAGTCGAAGAAGTCATGGACACTCTAAAGGAGGACGAAGGAACCACGGCTATTACCAATGAAATCGGTGATTCTTCCACCGGATCAGCTCTCTATTCTCAAGGCAGTCATAGAGGCTGAGGCTTCGGCCGCGGCGGTTGATACGGCAGCAACAGCCGGAGAGAAAACAAGGAAAAAGATGGTAAGGAATACACCTGCTCACACTGTAGGATGAATAACCACACCACCGACAACTGCGGCATCGTCAGCAAAAACAGATTTTTGTTGATTAAGCTTATTCAACATGCTGCACCCATGAAGGCCAAAATACAATGTGGGCGTTGGCGAGAATGGGCCTTCGAGTTGCATCGTAGCGACGACATTCTGAAGCTTTTGGTATTCTTTAATGAACGAGCTCCGGTTGTGCTTTTATTTCCGGAAACTCTCCATGCTACTTTCGTTAACACTTTGGTGAAGTCAAATACCATGGGCTCAAATGGGGTCGTGACCCCATTTGAGGCGAAAAACCATCGTCTTGTCTTCGTCGTCGAGATGTTTGAAATATGCCTTCATTGGCTTTATTCAAACCCCTTTTAATTTGTATGGCCATCCCTTACGCTCTCTTAATTTTCCAAACTCACGATAGTAGTCTTCCTCAACTTACTCAAATTGATAAGGCTGTTCATTTGATTTAAGTTAGTATCTATTCTCATGATAATGATTTTTGTTAATTCTCACGAGTTGATATCACAAATGGTCGTCGCAAATATTTTTTCAGTAAACCCTTAATTTTATAGTGCTTAGTGACCGATGACAATTACGATACTAAAGATTACAAGTGTCCGTGCAATGATTGTTAAAAAGAAATACAACGATCTTAAGAACCAAAAGACCATATCACGAAGACCAAAATAAGTGTCGCCTCTCCATTATGTATATTCCTTCCGTCAGATACCCACACTCGCTCTCTTAACAGTCATTGAGGACAGATATATTGAAGTCAAAGCTCCCATAATCCTCTGAACTAACTTTTTCGGTGTCCGCTACATTGAAATCGTCATTGCAATTGTCGTTGATGTTGTTGGTGTTGGTGTTGCTGGTGCCGCTGACATCAACAGTACTGGAGA